ACGGCCGCCTGCAGCAGCTGGTGGAGTGGGTGTGCCGCGAGATGCAGTTCAGCTTCACGCAGGGCGGCAGCGGGGTGCCACCCTGGCGCTCGCTGGCGCACGTGCTGGACAAGTGGCGGCTGCGCGAGGAGGAGCGTGGGGAGGGCACCGCCGCGGACCAGCTGCTGCAGCCGCCCCCGCCGCTGCCGCACCTGGCGCGGCCGGCGTGGGAGGGGGAGGAGCGCCGTGCGGCGGCGCAGGCCGAGCAGCAGCAGGCCCAGAAGCAGGCGCACTGGTGCGGCAGCGCCTTCTCGGCGGAGCAGCAGCAGGCGATGCGCCAGCTGCTGGTGCAGCAGGCCATGCAGGTGGGGCAAGCGCCGCCGCGCCGCGCGGCGAGGGCCAGCAGCAGCGCCAGCAGCATGGATGTGGCGGCGCCGCACGTGGGCGGCGGCCTGTCGCCACAGCGCTCGGCCCTGACCCTGGAGCTGGCGGGGGCGCAGGTGCAGCAGGAGCAGGAGGCGCCGGCGTGGGCGCACTGAGCCGCGCTGCAGCAGCCCGGGCCCGCACTGTCCTTTACGGCACACGGTGGCGGCGTGTAGGGCGCCCGCCCCCGCAAGCCCAGACCCCTCCCTTGTCCCACTTTCCCGCTTGCCCTCCCTTGTCCCATCTTCCCTTCCTTGTCCGCCTCCGGGCCACCCCTCCTGCGCAGCTGTGCTGCCCAGCCTATGTACACACACCCCTCGCGTGCACTTGGTCTGCCCTTGCTCAACATGATTTCATGCTCGCCATGTGATGTTCATTTGATCTCATCTCATCTCATCCTATCGTCGTCCCCTACCCTTGTTGTATCCAGGAGGTTCCTGCATGGGCATAGTACTACTTATTTGATCATGAGCGCTGTGTTAGCAATCCATACATGCAGACATGCAGCTAGCGTGGCACACAGGGGCAAAGTTTGAGGACCCCAGTATGCGTGCCATGCGAGATCTGCTGTCTACCGCCACCACAAATGCGCGAGCACGGATGTGTACCAGCATGCCTGCAGTCGCCTCCCTCCTACAATGTGTCCACTCAAAGACAGGAACACCACCAGGCAGCGGTCAACGCCTGAGTTGACCGGTGGGCTTGCAAGAGGCAGCACCGGCGTCTCCACCCCGCCTCTGCACTTTAAGGAGCTTGAAAGTACCGTAGCCTCTGGTCTGGGCAATAGAAACACTAGCAGGACCCTGATAGCAGGGTTCTCTTCATCTCAGTCCCGCCGTGGCAAGGCGGGACTGCGCGGGCGACGGAGGTTGTTGTTCAGCAGCATGTCCCTGTAGGCCCTGTACCCACCCGGCCGCTCAATGGATCTGCAGCATGCCTCCAGCGCATTTGATCAAGGGTTTCCCCCGGCAGTGTTTGACAGGTGTCCTGGGGCCTGGGGCCAGGGCCGCCTGCCAACTGGCAGCCAGCCAAGTGATGATCTCCCCCCAATTCACCCACGTGTGTCGACAGCTCTTCTTCTTCTTCACAGGCAGCCCTGGAGTCTCCACCTGCGCGTTTGTGAGAGTGGCGGGCCAGCCGGAGGCCTCCCCCCCAAGTTTCTGTGCCCATTGCCTGTTGGACCCTCAGCTCGTGGGCCCGCTGCTGAGGCAGCCCCGAGTCAGAGACCACGATGACAAATGCTGCAACCTTCCCCCAGGTGAGGTTCGTGGATGGATCGACAGTCATGTCACACCGGTGCTGCAACCTGTCCCTCTGGCGCTGTTCAGGGTCTGCGGCTGCTGCTGGTGACGTCCCAGGGCTGCGACTCGGAGGCAGCGCTGAGACACCCCGACTTAGGCTATGCCGGTGCGTCTTGCAGCGAGGCTCACTCCCTCGTCCCGCCACCCTGAGCACCCTTGCACCGACTGCAGCTGCTGCGACCCAGAGCTTCCTCCAGCACAGTGCTGCCCGCCCCTGCCTCTCACTGTGCGCCCGCGTGCCCTCCCGGCTCCCCGCCTGCCTGCAGTCACCTCGGTGCACAGCCTGCAGGCGGGGCAGGCGTGCTTTGCTGGCGGCGCCGCCACTTACGACTGCGTGCTGCTCGACCAGCTGCTGCTGGCGGCTGGCGGCAAGGCCCAGGGCGAGGCGCTGTTCAGGGCGGCCGCCGTGGGGCAGGCTCCCGTGGTGCTCGTGGGAGGTGCGCGGGCGGGGCGTTGTGGCGGGCAGGCAGCCAGCCCCTTCCAGCCTGCCCGCCTGCGACCCCACAGCACATGCTCCGCTGGCCTCCACAGCCCACACCATGCTCGCCCAGCCGCCACGCCCCAACCTGCAGAGAGCCCCAGCCATGAGGAGGTGATGGAGGGCGTGCGCCTGGGCGCCGCCGACTATCTGGAGCGCCCGCTGCCCTTCCTCAAGCTCAAGACGCTCTGGCAGCACAAGATTCGCAGGGTGGGCGCCTGCCTGCCTGCCTGCCTGCCTGCCTGCCTGCCTGGCTGGGTGCATCCTTCCGTGCTTGTGTGCAGCCGGCCAGAGCCTTGCGCAGGAGCGCAGAGCCATCGGGGTTGCTTTGGGTGCTGCTGTCGTCGTGGCTGGCCGGCGGCTGGGGCAGGAGGCCGGGCATCCACTGCTGGCAGCCGGAGGTGCGTCCACCCGTTCCACCCTGCCTGCCACCCGCCCATGCCGTGCAGATGATGGTCCACGCCAATGGCGGCGCCCTCCCCCGCCCGCCCTCCTGCCCCCAGCTTCCGGGCAGCAGCGACGGGGCGGCCGCCGCAGCCTCGGGCAGCGCGGGCAGGCCCGTGCCGCGCAGCACCAGCGTCCCCGGGCTGAGCTGCCCCGCCACGCCCTCCCTGCACCCCGCCGCCGCCGCCGCCCCGCAGACCAGCAACAGCCTGGCCTCTGGCAGCAGCCAGGGCCCTAGCCGCGCGCCGGCTGCGGCAGGCGGCGCCGCCGAGCGCTCTGACGCCACCAGCGGCGCGCCCCGCCCGCCGCCGCCGCCCCTGGCCTGCCTGCGGCTCGGCGCCACGGCCTGGGAGGCGCCTGCCTCGGAGGTGGATTGGCCGCCGCTGCCCGGGGACGCCGCCTGGGGCACGCCCGTGGGCTGCGGCATCCCGCCTCCCCTGCCGGGTGCCGCCTGCGCCGCCCCCGCCACGCCTCCCGCCCAGCGCCTGGTGAGCGGCCCTCCCTGCTGCCGCCCGGCAGCGCCGCTGGCCCGCAAGCCTGCCACTGCCGCTGTGCCGCTCCCTCCCGACCTGGCCTCGCCCCTCACGCGGCTGCCGCGCCCGCGCCGTGTGGCGCCTCTGCAGGCGATCACGTGGTGCCCGCCGGGCTCCCTGCCCTGGCCCGCCTCCACCTACGACCTGCTGCTGCCAGAGGACTTTAGCCTGGCTGGCGCCCCACCCACCCCCGCCACCCCCACCGGTGAGCCCCGCCAGGCGCCGGCTGGGCACCCCTTGAGCGCAGCACTTGTCAAGTGTCATGCTGAGGCAGCACTTGCGGTCATGCTGTGCTTGCGCTGTGCCAAACCAGCAGCCAGCCACCCGGCCAGCTCCAGCCCCGCCCGCCTCCCCCCAAGCGCTCTCTCACACCACCTGTCGCGCCCGCATCGGCGGCTGGTGCTCTGCAGGTGCGTGCCGGGGCCCGCTGGGCCTGCGCCTGACCGTCACCCCAGACCTGCTGTCGGGCATCAATGCGGCGCTGCGGGCTGGGCCCACACCCTCGCCAGCCCCCAGCCCCGCCCTGTACCCCACAGCCTGAGGGGCGGCTGCACCCGGCAGGCCAGCAGCCCGCCTGCTTGGCGCGTGTGCGCCTGCCGCGCACACCAGGCTGTGCGAATCACGCGAGAGAAGACAAAACCGAGGAACGACGCAATCTGATTTATTGAAATGATGCTGTGATAATCACTCCTGCCCCGCTGGCCGCCCGCCGCGGCCCAAACGCCCATTTTGTTCCGCTGCTGTTTCCAACCACCCGGCTGCCCCTTTCGTTGCTGAATTCATGGGGCTGCGGCCCTGGGCGCGTGCCTGCCCGGCGTGCGCCCCTCCCCCTCTTCATTAGCGCTGCAAATGCCTGACGCAAGCTGGGGCTGGCTGACGCAAGCGACGCGTGAGGCCCGTTGCGCCGCCGGCCCCGCTGGCCCCCACCCTTCCCATACCTGGCGTCCACACCTCTTTTGGATGCGCCCCTTGTTTGCTATTTTGAGCGACAATTGCGTATGTGCCTAGCCCCCAAGCAAGCTCCCCTTCCCTGTCCTTACATTGTCTACCTATTCCCCACGCACCCAACCCCTGCCCTCTGGCAGCCACGCTCTCTCGGCAGGCTGGCACCCAATGATGCCACCCACGCCGCCGGCAGCCACCCCTCCGCAACTGTTCGGCCCGCTGCCGCGCTGCAACCCAACAGCGGTTACACAACAGGTGGGCATGGATCCAGGTTGTGAGGCCCGGCACCAGGAGTGGGGCCTTGTGGGGATCGGTCGTGGAACCGCGAGCTATGTATCGCCGAGCATGGCGTGAAAACAATGAATGGCAGAGGGTGAAAAACTTGGGCGCAAAAGGGCGAGGGTGCACATCCATCTGGCGGGGGTGGGGCAGGGGGATGGATGCGTCGCGGGTGGGCGGTGGCGCCGCGGTGTATCGAGTGGCATCGGGTCGTTCATTGCTTGCGGCGGCACGGCGCTGCTGGCTGGCGGGTGGTCTTGGGGCAAGGGGCCAAGCGCGGGGGAGGAGAGGGGGGCAGTGTTGGCGGCACTGGTATCGGCTGAGTGCTGCCACAGCAAAACTGAGGAAAAGAAGGGCAGGGGCATCTCGACCGCGTGTGGTGCGGCAGCACGGTGCGTGTGCGGCGTGTGGGTTCCGCCGGGGGGGAGGGGAGGGGATGGGATCCAAGCTACCGAAATTAATATTGAAAGCAGGGCAAGTGTGGCATAGGGCGGGCGGCATGGCAGTGTGGGTGCATGGCGAGTCACCGCCCGGGATGGATAGATGCATGATTGGGTATGTCATCTCGCCTCATTCCCTGTACTAAGCAGAGGGGCAAATATGGGCAGGCTGGGGGAGTGTCAACAAATGTGCCGCACACAGGGCGGCGGGAAGGGGAAGGGCATTTCCGTATTCATCATGCGGCACTGGCAGGGTATGACGTGGCAGTGTCGCAGCGTTTGGGGGCGGGGACCAAGGCAAGTGCGTGTGTGCGCTGCTGGGGCGGGGCCCCAGCGCTCGGCGCTGGGGGCGCCAGCAAGGCGGGGGGCAGGGTACAGAGATGCAGGGTGGGGCAAGAGGGGCGTGCGCTGGGCGTGTGGCACGCTCCCGGGGGCTTGCGGGCTCGGGTGACCGAGTGACACAAAAACGGATCAGATGGCACATGGAACGAAAAACAAGACAGGGCGATAAAAAGGGGGCTACACGCTATGGCGCTAGGTGGCGGGCGCAGCACGGCGAGGCGCGCTGCTGAGGGGTGTGTGTGGGGTAGAGCGGCGAGGGCTGCCAGCGAGGGGTGCTGGTGCGCCTCAGGGATGCATTGGTTGGCTGGGTCGCGGCAAGCCAAGCGGGGGTGGGCTGTCCCGCCAAAGGGCTGCACGCCGTGCTTGGTGGGCGGTGTGGTAGGTAGGCAGTAGGGCAGGTACTTTGGTACTGTATGGTACGGTGGTGGTATCATGCTAGCATGAGGCGGTACCCGAGGCAGCCTGGCCGGCTGCTGGAGACCCGCACCTTGGCCAGGCGGGGGCCCAGAACAGACGTGCGCGCCAGCGCCAAGGTCGGGCAACTGTCCAGGCAGGCGCTGCATGCCTGCTCTCAGGCGCGGATGCCTGCAGCGGTGGGCGAGCGCCCGCCGCCGCCACCGCCGCCGCCCTGCGACTGCAGCAGCGAGGGCTGGTCGCTGCCCGCGGGGCTGTGCTTGGCGGCCACCAGTGCGCTTTCCAGCGCAGACCGCATCGCGCCCTGCACCCAGGCAGGCGGGCAGGCAGGCAGGCAGAGGGGCTCAAGGGAGGCGGGGGGGAGGCGGGGAGGGGACCCTCAGGATGTTCGGACGGCAGCCAGGGCAGCGCGGTGGGCTGTGCGGGGCATGCTGCGCGCAGGCAGGCGTCGCTCACCAGGCTCAGCTGGCCGCCCTCCACCTGCCCCACCAGCGCCAGCACCGCCTCCAGCAGCATGCGCTGCGCCTCTGCCGAGGGCCCCACCGAGGCGCCGCCCTCGCTGGCGGCCAGCTCCTCGCTGCCGCTGCCGTCGCCGCCGCTGCCCGACTCGCTGCTGCAGCGGCCGTAGGCGGCAGAGGCCGAGCGCATGGCGTCCATGCTGCTGCGCCGGCTGCTGTCCATGCTGCCGTCGCGCGCCCAGTCGGCGCTGTGGCGCTGCGGAGGCAGCCCGCCGCCCTCGCCCACCACCCCGCCCGTGTAGCACTGGAGCGAGCCCTGGCTGCCAGAGCCGCGGGCGGAGTGCACGCGGCGCAGCGCGGCGCTGGCGGCGGCGCCGGGCCCCGCCGGGGGCAGCGACGCGCCGCCAGGCGCTCCCAGCGCCTGCAGCGGGCTGTGCGGGTGGCCGGCCCCCAGCCCCATGCCGCCGCCCGTGGACTGGCGGCCGTTGATGGCGGTGATGCGGCTGCTGCGCTGCTCGGCCGTCTCGGCGGCGCGCACGGTCAGCTGCTGCCAGCCGCCCTCCGGCACCACGCCGTTGAGCGCGGAGATGGCGGCGGCGGCCTGCACGGTGCTGCGCATGCGCACCACGGCGCTGCCGCCGCTCAGCCGCACTTCGGCGGCGTACCTGCGGGCACGGGGAGGGGGCGGGGCACGTCAGGAGGAAGGGTGCAGGGTTTGACCGCCAGCGGGTGGGCGCACGGCGGCGGCCTTCCTGGGCCCGGCGGCCAGGGTGGGGCCCTACAGAAGCTGCGCCTGCTCACAGCTTCACATCCAGGACGTCGCCAAAGGGGGTGAACAAGCCGGCCACCGCCACGGGGTGCTGCAGGCTCTGGGGGAGGCCCTGCAGCAGCGGGGATACCAAAGGGTGGAGGGTGGTCAGCGGGCGGGCGGATGGGGGAGAGGGCGGAGGGCATGCATGGCGAGCGGGCGGCATGGCGCACCTGCACATATATCTTAGCTGCGGCACTGTTCAAATTTTGGTGGTGCTGGGCTGCCTGGGCCTCGGGAGGGGGCGGGCTGACAGACCAGCTGCCCTGGCCGGGCTCGGACAGTCGGGGCGCAAGCGTGGAGAGGTGCTGCGACTGGTGCAGCGTGGCGCCGCCGTCCCAGCCGGCACTCTGGCTCCAGAGGGCCGAGTTGGCCAAGTTGGATGCGGCCGTGGGCACCGGGTCCAGCTGCGCTGCTGTCTGCGCTGCCAGAGGGCCCCACATGGTGGAGGCGTTGGGGGGAGGCAGCGGCGGGTGCAGAGAGTGCGTGGGAGAAGCTCAGGACCGTGGCCCTCAGACCCTTGCTCGTCGCCACTGCGCCGCGACCACGCACTTCGAAATGGCAACACAAGCTGGATGGGGGAGGGGGCAGAGGCTTTCCGGAGGAGCCACCATGCGGCGCCAGGGGCGCCGCACGTCCCCAACATGCTGCATGCGAGCTCATGCTGATGATCGGGCTGGCCGGGCCATCCCCCAGCTTTCGGAATGGGCATGCCGGCTAGCAAGAAGGCCGCACCGGGGCCGCCGGCGCCATCTGCCCACTGCATATGGCTTACCCTGCTGCCGTGGGTGCTTGGCATCACCGGGTTTCTCTGGCGGAGCACAGTGGCGGTGTAAAATTAATCGGGCGGCCCAGAAGGCCACCAGCTGCTGGCCTCCCAAAAACCCTAGTCGGCCTGCAAGGCGCACCCACTGGCGGCCAAACGCACGGCTTACAACCAATCAACCCTATCCATCTGGGCCGCCTCCCACGACAGACCAGCTCCGAAACACGTGCAGGTGGCTGCACAGCGCCTCCATCGGCGGCGTCACGTTGCGCCCCACCAGCAGCCCGTGCACCTCCAGCCCCAGCGACTGCCGGGCGGCGGCCAGCCGCTCCAGGATGTCCTCTGAGGGCTGCGGGATTTCGCCGTCCGTACAGAGAAGGATGTCGGCCTGCGGGGGCAGGGCGCAGAGGGGGGCGGAGTGGGCCCCATGCATGCGTGCTTACAAGCATGCCTGCAGGCGCGAGGTGCGCTCGGATAGAGTCGCTTGCACGCACGCATGCATGCATGCACGCGCCTGCACTCCCAATGGGCGTGGATGCCCACAGGCAGGACCTGGAAAGCATAGCATGCAAGGCAGCAGCTGGCGCGCTCTCGCACTGCCCGGGGCTCACCAGCGCCCACTCCTCGCGCCCCACCCGCTCCAGGCTCAGCGCCAGGGGCGCATCCACATCTGCCACCAAGAAAGGCAGAAGAGGGCGGGGATCAGCTGGCGCCGCGCAGGACAGGGGCCGGCCAGGCAGCACAGAGGCCCGGGGGCGCCCATGCTGCCGCTGCCCGGCACGCACCTGTGCCGCCGCCAAAGCCGCAGGTCAGGAAGGTCAGCAGGTTTTTGAGGGAGGCGGCGTCTGTGCCCAGCTCCAGCCCCACCACCTCGCCGGGGCCGCTGCGCGCAGCAGGCGGGCGGCGGCGGCGCAAGGGTGGGCACAGGCAGGGGGCAGCGGCGGGCAGCAGGCCGCGCGCGCCCGGCAGGCCCCGGGGCACAGAGGGGCGGCCAGCAGGGCAGGCGCCGAGCACCCCCTCCCCCCCACACACACCTGAACGAGTAGAGGTAGCAGGGGCGCTGCTGGCGGTGCGCGCCGCGCATGCACTCCAGCGCCACAGCCTTGGCCACCACCTCACGCGCGCCGTACATCGACCCTGCACACGCGCGCATGGGTGGTGGTGATGGTGGTGGTGGTGGGGGGGGTGGCAGGCTGACCCTCCACACCTCGCTGGCCCCCTTGCACACCCGTGCCCCACACCCGACGCCAGGCGCCGCCCCGCGGTCGCCCTCCCTGCGGCCGCCCGCCGGCAGGCCCCGGGCCGGCCCCGCCCTGCGTGCAACCTACGCGCGCCGCCGCCGCCGCCGCCGCCAGCGCACCCGATGTGTCGAGGCAGACGATGATGGGGCCCAGCTCGGCGGCGGGCCGCACCTCCAGCCTGCCCGTCAGCCGCGCGCGCTCATCATCCACCCACCCCTCGCGCTCGTAGCTCATCAGCATGCGCTCAGCCCTGCACGCACCGGGCAGGGAGTGTGCGGCAGGGAGTGAGCGGCGCAGCGGGCGGCCGGGTGGCGCCCACGCGCAGCGGCCGGCCGATGCTGCGGGCACGCTGGCGGTGGCAGAGCGGTGCGGCATGGAGGCGCAGGCTGCGCAGGCGGCCACACCCGGCCGGCTGGCCGCGGCACCCTGCCCGGCGCAGCCCGGCCTGCTGCCCGCCGCTCACCTCCTGGCCTGGAACAGCATGCGGGCGCCGCGAGACCCCTCCCGCGTCATCACCCGCTCCCCCTCGCCGCCGCCGCCCTCGCCGCCGCCCTCGCCGCCCTCGCCGCCGCCGCCGCCCTCCTCGCCGGCCGCCTCCCAGCGCGGCCAGCCCGCCGCCAGCAGGTGCGCCTCAAAGGGCAGCATGCGGCTGAGGTCGCCTGCAGGCGGGGCGGCGGAGGCGGTGGGGGCGCTCATGACAGCGTCAGGGTGGGGCAGCAGCGGAGGCAGGGAGGCAGGCAGGCGTGTCTGGCAAGCAGGAGCGAGGGGCGGAGCAGCAGCGCCGGGGGCCAGACGGCGGCGGCGGGGCGGGCGCCCACCCGAGCGCGTGAGGCCGCGCGTCTCCTCTGGCTGCATGGGCGAGCGGATGACCCCGGGCGGGCTCCTGCTGTTGTACACCTGCGGGCGGGAGGGGGCAGGCAGGCGCAGCGCAGGCTCAGGGGGTGGGCCCAGCGCACCACCGCTGCTACCGCCGCATGACACGACACGGGCGCTGGCGGCGCGTGTGCAGCAGGCCCCCGCCCGCCAGCCTGCCCGCTCCCCGCTGCCCCTGCCCAGAGTGCTGCAGTGCTGCAGCCCTGTGCCGCCACAGGCCGCGGCGCACCTGCTCGGGCGCCTTTTTCAGCGGGCCCTTGCCGCCGCCGCGCCCCAGCTGGCGCACCAGCTCCCGCAGCTCCTTGAGGTCCTCCAGCTTCTTGCGCAGGGACGCCACCTCACGCCAGCCTGGCGCAGCGCAGCACAGCAAGCGCAACACAGCCAAGTGAGCCAGCAGCAGGGGAGGTCGAGCCGGCAGCCGCTGCCCACAGCACGCCGCCCGTGTCATTGGATGCACGGCAGCGGGCGCGGCGGCACGCGCGACAGCCAGCAAGGCGCCGCGCGCCGCACCCGTCTGGTGCCACACGCTGCTGCTGCTGTCAAAGCCCTGGGGCCCCTCCAGCAACCCGTCGATGTCGTCAAACGCCTGCACCCGCGGCGGCAGCAAGGGAGAGAGGGGCGGGCAGCGGGCGCGGGCGGTGGCGGAGTGATGGAGCAGGCAGCTGGCATCGCCAGCACATGCGCCCGCCCGCTGCCGCCGCCCGGCTGCGCACCCGCACCCGCCACGCGCTGCGGCAGCCCGCCACTGCCTACGCCTGCCGGCGCTGCTGTGCCGCCCCACCCACCCGCCCACGCCACCAGCTGGGGCCCGCTCCCACTGTGGGCCAGTGCCGCCACCCCACCCGCCCACCCACCTGCTCCGCAATGTCAATGTTCTCCATCACAGGTGCCCACTGCTCCTTGAACCCCTCCAGCAGCTTCTCAACCAGCTGCCGGGCGGAGCAGCAGT